GTCAGCCGGAAGAGGGAGAGAGAGAGTTTTCAAGTCGTGTCGTCAACGAAGAGTGCAGTGGACTAATCATGCGAAGCTTGCCTGAAAAACCAGAAGGAGAGAGAGGAGTGAGCTGTCGATCGAAATCGCAGCTCCTTTTGCATGCAATGCTGAAACAAAAAAGAAGAGAAAGAGAGAGAGAGAGAGAAAGGAACTAGTGGCGCGATGGTGAGGAGAAGGCGGCGAAGGGACGACGACAACTAGTTCAAGCCAGACGGCTGAGGTAGTGGCTGAAAAATCGGAGAGAAAGTGAGGAGGCAGACTACCTATGAAGCGAGGAAAAAGAAAGAAAGGGAAAAAAAGCTTCTTTACATCATTCTAGGTTTTTCTAGGGTAATTTGGTCCAATTTGAATCTAGTTTGTCCAAATCGAAGGGTTCGATCTGGTTTCCACTTGATTTACAGGTTTTTCATTTGGCTTAAAAATTCTAAATTGAATTACGAGTTTGGTTTAGTAATAACAAAATATTTTCTTTTAAATTTTGTTATATAATCCATTGGTTGGAATTAAAAATTAGTTTTTAAATGAAAAATTTATGAAATTGAATTTTTGAGCTATTTCACTTATATTAATTAGATTTTTATAATATTAAAATAAAATTTCATATGAGATTAATGTGAGTATAATGGTTAATTAATAAAACTGCAGTGTGTATATGCACACTTTAATTCAATTTATATCATTGTTTAAAATTTAAACTGTATGTATATAATTTTACGATATCACTTAATAAATATGTTTCAATACATATAGATAAATAGATATAATAATAAAATATTATATATATTTTTAAGATTAAAATTATCAATTGTTGATCATCTCACACACATATATTCATTTTATTTAAAAATAATTTTAAAAAGTAAAAATTTAAAATCTTTGAAGGATTAATTATATATTTTCATTTGAAAATTTATTTTCAAAAATATTTATACAATCAAATTATACAAACATAATGAAAAGAGAATATTATAAAAAAATATTTTTTTTCTTTTTTTATCTCTCTTCTAAATAAAATATTTTAAATTATAATAAAATCAAATCAAATATTTAAAAAGTAAAATTCAAAAATAAAATATAAAAATTTTGAAATGTTTTTTTTTTTTTTTGAAAATGTAATTCATTAATAGTAATATCAAGAATTACAAATAAACATATAGATCAGACATAGAATTTTACTAGCTAATAGAGTTCGCTAATCTTCTAACGAAATAAAGGAATTCATATCCTTTTAAATAATGAAATTAAAACTAAACAACATAATATTAAATCTTTCCGCTTGGAGTTGACAAAAGATATAAATCTTCATAGCAGCAACTAGTCTGTTGATGATTTGGACGTCAAAATAATGACTATTCTGGATCTTCTATAACTGGATTGTTTTTCCAATACATAGCAGCAACTAGTCTGTTGATGATTTGGACGTCAAAATAATGACTATTCTGGATCTTCTATAACTGGATTGTTTTTCCAATAATTTGCAACATATAACGAATACAGATGAGTTTCCGCCGCAATGCGTCGATAGCATCAATGCAGGAACAGGCCGCATTACCAGGCTCCATCGATCGAAGATCCATATCTGTAAATTAAAATCTAAAGTCTCCAACCAAATAAAATCAAATATCATAATTTTGTTTAATAATAAACCCTCACAAGAAGGGACTACCCTCACAAAGAAGGGACAAGAAAAACTCCAAATATGGAGACAACCAACTACAACAAAACAAAAAGACAGATGTGTTATAGGGAAAACAAATCTAAGTTTATTGAAGGAAAAGAAAATTAAAAGCGAAAAAAAGATGAAGGGGAAGAGATAATAGAAAGTAGGAGGTAGGGGCCACTGCTGATAAATAGCGGCAGCTCTAAACTAAAATTAGGATTAAAATTTTGAAATGTCTTATTATCATATATATTTATTAAAAAAATAAATTTAAAAAAATCAAAACTTAAAATTTTGAAATGCTTCATTATATATTTGTATTTATTTAAAAAATAATTTTAATAAATTATATATAATCAACTAATAAAGTATAATTTTCTAACTAATCATGACTAAAGTTATTTTAGGATATGAAAATTCCATCATGGGCGCTATCGAAAATCTCATTATTTCCCCTATTCCCACATTTATATATAATATAGATTATTGATTTGATGCGTAGTTACAACTTTTAAAATTATAATTTTTGTAGGTTGAGATATTTTATAAGTTAAAACATTAACATATTAAAGTAAAAGTTGAAGGTACCACAAACTTATTCACGAATAATGGGATGAATTCATGCATTTCATCATAAGAGCAATAGTGAACACAATAATATTTAGCGCGAGCGGTTGTTGATAGTTGGTAGTTGGTGACTGATAACGGTTAGGCGTGACCACCGTTCGGTTCCAAACTAGAATCGAACCGGTCAAAATCGAAACTGAACCATGGTTAACTGTTCAATGTTCCAAATGGTAATCGAAACCGGCGGTTTAAGGTTCAGTTACGGTTCCTTGTATTTGAAAATTAAAACCGGCGATTCCGGTTTGAAACCATTAAAAAAAAAAAAAGAAAATATCACACTTCACACATGATTTTTAATTGTTAAATTAATTTTATTTTTCATTATTAAATGCAATAACTTTACCATCATCTTAAAATTTATTAATATAAATATAACTTATAAAAAGAGAAAAAAAATGCTCTATTTAATATTTTTTATTTATCTTTTACCGTTCTATTAATTATACTCTGTCCCATTTTATTTGATGTTATTTTTTTTTTTGAATGTCTCAGAAATTTGCAGTTTTCTAATTAATGTATAATTAGATGTATTTTTCATAATAAATTATTTATAAATTGTTTGAATGAGGCATATGTATTTAATGAGTTATTTAGGTAAAAGAAGGGCAAATAATTTTTTGTGAATATTCTAGATATTACGTCATTTGTCAAATATGCAAATAAAATGGGATGAGGAGTATTTTTTTACATATTAATTAAAAGTAGTTTGATTTTAAATTTATTTTTGACTCTTAAATAAATAAAGACATTTTTTCTCCCTTATAACAGTAAGAAAAAAGGGCAATTGAAGAGGTATTGTTTGACAGAAAAATTATATTGTAATTTTTTTATCTTAATTTACGATACGAAGCGCTTGCCCCTTATACGTAAAAACAGGATATTTGAATGATTATTTTGGAAAAAACATCATATTATTGATTTAATCTTTGATTAATTTTTAATAAATAAAGTATTTTATCCTTTTATAAGCGTAAAAAAGGGAATTTGAGTATTTTTTGAATAAAATTTATATGTTAACTATAAATACTTATATCTTCCTCTTTTCACAATTCATTCTTTTTCTCCTACTACCATTTAATTTTCTATATTTTTTTTGCTAATAGTAAGTTAAGTATAGTTCGAGTTTTTTGCATGTCTTTCAATTTAATTTATAGCAAATTAATACTAGTAAATAATTTTAATGTTTTTGTAGTTATATTTTTAATAATTTTAAAACTATTAATTGACTCTTGTAGTCTTTTATTTTTAATTAAGAACTATTATTTGTTATTCAATTCTTATAGTAGTAAGCTAAGAAATTAAAAAGTTAAAAAAAGTTATTCTAGATTCGAGTTCAAATTGACTAGCGGTTATTAAATTTATAGAAATTAAATACTAGTAAATAATTTTAAATTATGTTTTGTGTAGTTATAATTTTTTAATAAATTTTAAAACTATTAATTTACTCTTGTAGTCTTTTTTTTTTAATTTAATACTATTATTTGTTATTAATTTTCTTATTTAGCTAAAAAATTAAAAAGGTTAAAAAAAGTTATCTAAATTCAGTTCCAAATTGAAACTAGCGGTTTTAAAACCGTCTAAAAGCGATTCTGTTTCGGTTCCACATTTTTTGAAATCGAAACTGGCGGTTTTAGAACCCAAACTGGTAGTTCTGAAACTGTGGTCATACCTAATAGCGGTTACCTGATGTATATTAATGTTTTGTAAAATTTTTAGAATAGTTGTTAAAAATATGAAATGACAATTAAGGGTATAACTACTTTCATATATTATGTACAATCTATGTTTCTTTTAATCTTCAAGGTGAATATATTATTTAATTTTAATTTGTTATATAAATAGAAAATACTAATTAAGCTATTAAGATTACTTTTAGTAGAAATTTATTATTTTTAAATAACAATAAATAAAATGATCAAAACAAATAGTAAGTTTAAAAGTATAATTTTATTAGTATCTATTTTTATAAGGTTAAGAAAGTCCAAGTATAAATAAATATAATTCAGCTATTAACTGATATGCAACTGATTGAAACTTTTATTAGCCGTTAATTGAATTCCTTACCAAACACCTATAAACCTAGTTGTTGGATATGATAACTATTAACTGCATGAATCAATTGAACCAAATGTCATATTAGTTCAGATATTCAAATTAGTTAATGATAGTATCTAATAGTGGTTAATGATAGCGGTTAGCCGATAAATATTGATGTTTGGTAAGATCTCGATAATAGCCTATTAACCATTAAGGATATAATTATTTTATATGTTATGATAAATAATGTTTACTTTTGTAATTTTTAAAGTTAATATTTTTTTTAATTTAGTGTACTATATAAATAAAAATTATTGATTAATTTTAAAAAAAAACAATATCCAGAAGAAAATTATGATGAAATTCAAATATAATATAAATACAAATTCAGTTATCTATTGATAGAAAAAAAAAAACTTCAAAATATAGCATATGAAATTAATTAATTGAAACTTCTATTAGATATCGACTCTTCAAATTTTTACCAAATATGATTGTCAATTTAATTATGCTCAATTTAACTCTAATGGTTTGCAAAGTTACCCTATCCTCTCTAATTCATTCAACATCTGCAGTTTCTGTTGGAATGATCCGATTCCTAATTCCTGGTTATCATCCCTATTAACAAGTCAGATCACCACCAAAAATAATACATTGTATTCTATTTATTCAACAACCACTACAACAAAATCAAGACTATTGTACAAATTTATGAAATATAATTTTAAACAATTGTCTTCTATTCCTTTCTCTTCTACAATATCAGAAGTAATACAGTTCCCAGCTTGCATCTCAATTTACAGCTCCTACATATTCTATCCTAAGCATTTCCTCCCTATCAAAATCATGTACTCTTCTGTGAAATAAAATAATGGAAAGAGAATCAATCAAATAAAGGTACAATTAACCCAGATGTCAAAGTACAAATTGTATAAAACACCTCCACCAACATGGGAATGAAGCACAAAAATTTTGAACCACCATTATCAGGAAACCGATGAACGACCTGACAGAACACAAGCGTTTCAATCTTTTCTGTCTTTTTTTTATCTGAACTTGCAGCCAAATTTGTGAAGACCTCTAAATAATCGGATGAGGGTCTGAGATTCACAAAATGGGAGAGAAACATTGAAAGTCTTCAACTGGAAAGGCCTGAATGAGAAGTGAGTGAATTTATAGGAAACGCAAAGGTGATATTCTTTAACCATTTTTTTCACTTGTTGTGTCTCTTAGGAGAATTCCAAACATCAGGCAAGTATCTTGAAATAAAATATGGACAACCAAAGAAACGAAACAGATTCTTGCAATCTTTTTCTCCAACCTCGTCTCCATGGGAACTTAAGTGGCTTAAGTAAGTTTTTCCCAGATATATGTAACAAAGCTGCTGCCAAAGAAGTACACTTAACCCTATCTCCACAGAAACACTAGAAAAAAACAAATAAACAAGAACAAGCCCTCTTGTGGATAGAAGCAGTGCAGAGCTTAGGAATGCAAAAATAACTTCCTTAAATGTTCTCCAAACGATTTGATTATTCGTCCCGCTTAAATGACCCAAAGCTCTCAATGATAATGGTGGCCATACATGCATAACTGCATATGTTGACATGATTGAAACATATATCATGCTGATGATAGCTGACACTAGGAAGGCAATAAAGTATTGATGATTTGCTGCTCCAACGCAATTTCCAATCTGCACATTGATTTCAAAGCATAGTTGTTATGTTGTTAGAATGTAAGAATGAGTTCAAAAGGCTAGCTAGGGGTGTAAATGAGCCAAACTAGCTCGTGAGCTGTTTGAGCTTAGCTCGAAAAAAGTTCCAAAAAGTTTGGCTCAAATCAATCTTGAGCCCGGCTCGCTTAACAAATGAACTGAGACCGAGCCTAATGATGTTCAACTTGAAAGCTCGTCAAGCCTTATCGAGCTTTTCTATATACACACACACATTTATGTAAATACATATAATATTTATTTTAGGCTTACTCGAACCTCGAGCCTAAAATTTTCAGACTCGTCGAGTTTCGAACCGAGTAGGTTCAACCTTGACTTAGCTTATTGACACCCCTAACACTAGCTATACAAAAAAGTTTAAGGCTCAACAATAATGGAACCATACACAAGAACAAGCCTTTCAACTCTAGCCTAGCAAGGCAATGAAATGGAATATATGACGGAACAAGGGATTCACAACACAAGTCCCCAAGAAGTGAATATGATGCAAAATTTTCACATTACATGATATTGTCAGTGCATGTTAAAAATATAGATGCAACTACTCTCTAGTCAGATTTAACAGTTCTTCTTCAACCTTGATTTTGAATAACGTTTTTAATCCACAACCAGCTTGTGTCAGTCATCTGATCTGACCGAAATGAAATCACAGTTTTGCATTCTCTCATGCTGTACCAAACAGAATCTGTAGAAGATATGAAAATGGAATCCTAATGTACATATAACTAATTTTGAGGTGATAGTGAATGACCCAGGAGTAACCTAGTTGATACCCTCACCTCTTCTCTTAGGAGGATGGTCAAGTTTGGATGTTCCATCCCCAATTATCAATATATATATTTTCAGTGGTGATCATTTGATGATGCAATCTTAGTGTATAAATCCATATGGAATAAATACTAGGCATTTCATCATTACTTTGTGATTAGTTTGATTTAGAAATACTCCCTAAGTTTCTCAAGATTGGGGATCAAGATTAAAGGATTCTAGTTAAGTCCAATTTTGAACTACAAGAATACTGACAGTAAAGGCCCTCACAGAGTTGGGAGTGTCATTCATGTGAACTTGATTATAAGGTGTGTCTACATTTTGTATGCCTGAATGCACACTCCCAAAACGAAAAACAAAAGGCTCAAGAGCATTAAGTAAAGCACAATCATTGAAGGGTCTAAAATGGCCACACAAGGAAATGCTCAAAAATTCTCCATAAACATATCCAGAAGAAGAGAGAGTGAGCGGAAAAAATTTTAATTGCATATTTAACATATATCTGTGCATGAAGTAAAAATTTTGTAAAATTTGAAACACTACTAGGAATCTTCTTTCTTACCATTAAATGCAGCTTTCACAAATTAATCAAGTAAACCTAGATCGGATGTCCAATTGCACACAAACAAGATCCACAAATTTCAAGCAAACCAAAAAAAACGAAGAGTCTACAGCCTACAGTCATCCAATTATTTCAAAATTTATAAGGATAATAAACACTCACAAATGGGCAGTGATGATCCATGTCCAGTATGCACATCCTACATGAGCGGCAGTGATGGGTTCTAGGTGATTTTGGCTTTGAACAATAGTGGCAGAAGGTGTAATTCTCAAGGTAACCTTTTCCTACAACGGGGTAGCTACCCCACTGTATGATAGGTGGTGTTCCAGCACATCTAAAAGCCGCCAGACTAAACATTGAAACAGTAGTTATGGACAAGATAACTGTTATGCATGAGTGGAGAATCCCGCAGAAATTGCTGACAGAGAAAATTACAGGGTACACTGCCCAGACACCGCCACCTGCACTTTCAGAAAATTGGAAAGATAAGATAAGTAAAAACTTTAAGAAAAGTTCAAATGATGCTGAAATAAGTAAGAAGATCTAGTGCAGTTTGCAAACTTTGGTAAAGGTATCTGATTATGAACAAAATTATAACAGCCGCAGCGGTATGAATTTCTTAAAAAGAAGAAGACTTGGATTCTTTGTTAACTAGAAATTTAACATACACACACATAAAACATTTACATGGCTTTAGCCATTGTCATCACAAAAAATTAACAACTTTAAGTTATGTTGCAAAATCGCTTCTTTTACTCTTAGAATTTGAAGAGTGATGAAAACTTTTGTTATAATTGGAGTTCAAAGTTGAAATTTAAGATTGTGAATCCAGGAAACTGCAAATGGAGGGTTTTGGAGGTGAATTTTCACCTGTTTCTGCCAATAAAAGCTGTCAAAAAGGACTGAGAAAAAACCACATCAACCGGATATAATATGGCTCCAAATTGGAGCCGTTGGCTGTAAAAGATGATACACTGACACACAGGTGAAATAGCAAATGCTGATGCATCAAGCAATATCTAAAACCATGAACCAATGCATGCTTCAGAAGCAAAATTGGAATACCATGACTGGAAATCAAAAGAGAACTAAGCTCATTTATGAAACTGAAACTTATAATACCAACCAAAATAATGAAACCTGGGGAGTACAGGAATCACAATCAAACATATCAATATGTTTGCAAAAGCAAAAAATTTATCTCCTGGGTCAGGGAGATAGATTGAGTAACAAATTAAAGATTTGGATTTCTGTTATAGTGGATATAACTTACTGCATGTAGAGGAACTCATAAATTTTCCGTAGTTGATGTTACATAAACAAGATGTCTTTGGTAAATGGTAATTGCCACAGCCTCATTATTAATATAATGACGTTTTGTCTCTTTATTCATCAAAGAGAAACAGAGAAAGAGAGAGATGATGATGATGATGATGCATTGGTAAGTACAAAGGGAAATAATAACATACATATCACAAAAAGCATGAAGCCGACAATGACACATACGAAGCAACGGTCACGCACACGTCTCCACCAAAAGCCGTGATTCTCACATTCTCGTTCATTTTGACTTGTTATTGCTCCACACCAGCCACATTTGAAAACGGGTGAATAAGAAGGTAGAAGAAGGCGAAGTCCACATCCCCAGCATGCTGCCTCATGATCGTCTTCAATGGCTGTTGCCACAAAATGCTCCTGCTGCATATGAATAAGAAAAAACAAATGATGACACATGAAAAACAGCATAAGCTTACTCCTGTCACATATTAGGAAAACAACATTGCATTTCATGGTCTTCAATGGATTGTGCTGTTTCCATCTGTGAAAATTCCATTAGATATTCTCAATTTCTTATGTTTCTTGAATTTTGAGATCCTTATACAAGATATTCTCTAAATATTGGTACAAAATAAACAAATGAAAGACAAAGAAAATACAGGTATATGTATGCACAGATGTCATTTGCATGCCCATCTACCCACCCCCTCTTTCCCTGTTCCCACAACACATGCATACATATGCACACACAGAACACAAGCTTCTTTACTAATGCTAATTATCTAGATGGATAGGTTTACAGAGTATATATAATTGTCATCTATATGACAACATTGCAACACAACTTCTGTTTAATTGAACAAAGAGAATCTGCCTTGCAAAAGGACTAGAAAGAGAGAGAGATAGAGAGAGATTTAAGTGACAGGGGAGGCCTTTTAAGTTATCATAGGGAAAAGAGTGACAGATTTTTGAAGAGCAGAGAAAAGAGAGATAAAAAGCAAAGCAAAGGAAATGAGAGGGATAAATAGAACAATGGTTTTACCAAACTTTGTTGACTGCATTAGACCTGCAGCATATATGGAAGACGATACAGATAACAGGTCCCACGGGTATAAAAGAAGATCATTTCAAACATGATATCAAAAAATTAACCTATAAATGAAACAACTAATTAATTAATCATGTTAGCACCAAGTGAATGTATACAACCAAGATTAGCATCCTTTCCTTTGATGAGACATTCTACGAGGCACCATAGATTACAGTAAAGCAATATGAGTTTTAGCTTCCTTTGAACTACCAGCATTGTTAATTAACAGGTGTTCAATTAAAGTTGCAAGTCCATATGATCCTCTTTCTCTCAATATGCTGTGCTAGCTAGTTCAAGTGGAATAATAAGTGCAAAGATAAAACTCAACCAACAACATAACACTTGTTTCATAAAGAAACTGAGAAGGCGACAATAGGTCATATGTTAGAAGCAATATGAACCAATATACCATAGAGGCATAGTAAAACAGCTCATATTTGAGGATTGAGGATTCCTTCTTTATGTTTGAAATAAGAAACTCCTTGAAGCAGACTGGAATTTACAGCATATTAAAATAAGATCGTGAAGGATCTTATTCTTATTCTACGAGCATAAGCAATTCTTTTCCTGCTAATTTTCAATGAAAGAAACCAAACCATATCCCCCAGTTTGAAAAGAAAATAACAAAGACAAGATATCATTTATGACAGAAAAGGAGCACCCCCAAACTCTTGGAATTCTGGAATGCCTTTGTCTACTATGCCCACATCAAAATAAGAGCATCCAAACTGAAAATTATTTCTTTCTTTATCAACAGTCACTAAACATATAAATGCAACAAACTTGTTTTTTTCAATGAAAAAAGGTTTTTTTACCTCTAAGTAGAATAGATAAACAAAAGAAGAAAATTTTATGCACCCATAAGCCAAGCTACAATGTACTTTAAATGTAAAAACAAAATATTGCACTAACACCATCATAATTCTTTCCAACACTGTGGTTCCACAACTGGATGGAAATTTTTCATGATTTTCTAGTACACCAACAAATCCACAAATGTACTAGTAACTATCAGCAAAAGACAAACAGAAAATCAAGGCTGCAAATATCTAAACAAAGAATTTGACAACTGGCAAGAGCTCAATGTGAGTGTTTCAATATAAGCTGATACATTTTTTCTCACTCAAATCACGTGATAGGTATTCTAAATCATATAAAAACTTAAAAGCTACGAGACCAAACTCTCTCATCAATCATCAAAATTTTATTCAAGTTAGTCAAAATTTTATAAAGATTGTTAATAGAAGTCATAATGAACACCCTTACAGTCTGAATTTGGTTGGTTCTTACATCCCAAGACATATCTACGCTTACCCCTTCAAAATCCACTTTTGAAAGAGAAAATAAAATTATGCTACTGTAATATATCTGTATCTCCATAGGACAGGACCATAATATATCAGACAACAAGTCCTCAAGCTTCAAAATTAAAAAATTGGACTAAAATCAAGGATCCGGAACCCACCTATCCAATTTCAGATTGGATTTTGAAAAAAAGAAGAAGAAAAAAAAAAAAGAAAAACTATAGATTTATGTCATTGCTACTGAACAAATTTTGTGTGCAGAAAATTGTACTTATAAATTTACTCTCTTGATCTTGTTGTTCACTCACAAGTAAGTGTTGGTACGGTATACATTTAATTTAAAAACCATTTCAGTATGCAAGAAATTATTCAGAGAATACAATAATCTCCATATTAACAATTCCTCAAATATCATCCAAAAATTATTGTCATGACACAATTTCAATCAAAAGCAACCAACAAAAATGATTTCACACATATCACCTACCGCTTATCAATAAAAAGAAATTGCTAGCAGTTTCTTTTATTTCTCTCTCTTTTTGGATTCAGTAAAAAAATAAAGAAACCTTTTTTTTTTTTAATTTTATTTGAAAAATTAGTTCATCAACAACAAAACCAAGAAGTAAAAGAAGAAAAACCAAAAAAAAAAAACGATGGATTACTCATGCATGTAAAAATAATTCAAAGAAGAACAAGTAACAATTATATAAAAAAATGAATAAAACTAAAAAGAAAAGAATAAAATAGCAAAATCAGAAATAGTCGATAGCAAGAAGAAGAAGAAAAAAACAATCAGAAAGGACTTGAACTGACCTTGGGCAAGTCAGCCATGTATGCCTTCGTTTTCAGAGACAGACAGCTACAGTAATGGACGGTAGGACACAGAAAAATCGTCTTTCTTTCTATTTATTCTTTCGTTATTGACTCTGTTCTTTTTTTAGCAGTTGTTTCTTCCGTTTGGGCCTGTTGGGTCAGTTCATTTTCCAATAGGGTGAAACGCACCCAGCAATTAACAATTGGAAAGAAGAGGGAATTGGTTACATTTTTTGTATTTTACAATTATTCAAAATAAATAACATCAAACGTACTTTTTAAATTTGATTTAAATATCCATTAATTTTTTAAATATATATTTATATATGTTAATTTGTTACTTTATTTTTTTAACTAGTATTATTCGGATTCGTGATTTTAAAAATGATATTATATTTTTTAATCTATTTAATTATATTAATTTTTGCCCATGTGCGTTGTATAATATTTATATATTTATACTCATTTCAAATAAATGTAATTTAATTTATACATAAGTTTTTATTAATTTTTGTTATAAATTAATTATTTGAACAGTTTATATTATTAAAAAATAAGAATAAAAACAGAACATTTTATGAAATAATAAAATAAAAAATTCAATAATTAAATAGCTTGTTGAGGAAAGAACATATTAATTGTTATTATAATTTGATAACCAGATTTTCATAAAAAAATAAAATTATTTGTCAAGCAATTTAAATTTTCAGATAATTTAATTTAATTAACTTAATCTTTTCATGTATAATATAATATCATAAATTATCTATATTACTAAAAAATAAGAAACCAATATTAACTTCTATATTTTGCAAATTGAAATAATAAACTTTTTATTGTTGCATTAGTTTGAAAGAAAATCTAAAATAATATGTAATTTTATACCAGTGATTTTTCTATTTACAAAATATGAATAACATACTTATTACTAATTTATTATGCATATTGGGAAATCCATTTTCGTGCAATTGAGGTTCAAACTTATTAAGGAAATAACAATACAAATCAATCAAAAAATAATTAAGTAATAAAGTAAATAAACATTTGAAAATAAAAATACAGTAAATAAATAAATGAATAAAGTAAAATTAAGATACCACGTGAGAAAATTTTCTCAAAATGAGGATTCTCTAGACTTGGCTTGTTATATTTTGTTTTTTTTTTAAAAAAAAAAAAAACTTAACAATTCTTAATATTTTTGTAGGAATAAAAAAATAAAAATATAGAAAATTGAAATCTTCTATTTGGATTGATAATTTCTATTGGAGATGTACTTTAATCTTAGCAACTGGATACAAACTTGGTCCATTTTTTATAAAAGGACAACAAAAGAAATACCTTCCATAATATTATCTCGAAGTTTATTTTTTTTACGGAAACTTGTTACAACTAACATCCGCAAAGAGTTTTTTTAAAAAAAAAAAAAACTTAACAATTCTTAATATTTTTGTAGGAATAAAAAAATAAAAATATAGAAAATTGAAATCTTCTATTTGGAGATGTACTTAATCTTAGCAACTGGATACAAACTGGTCCATTTTTAAATAGGACAACAAAAGAAAACCTTCCATAATATTATCTCGAACGTTATTTTTACGGAAACTTGTTACAACTAACATCCGCAAAAGAGTTTAATGTACTAAATTTTAATGGAGTCATACTATCAGGCTTTATTAGTAAAAGAAATTTACTCAAACTTAAAGATATGAAGTTTTCAATCACAAGCAACCAACAATCCTTCTTGTATTTCGAACAGTTAGAGAAATAAAATATCCACATAAAAGTTTCTCAATAGCAAAGAATAACCAAAGGAAAGAAATTAATAACCACACTAAGAGGATATAAAAAATACACAAGATCTATCAACTATTACAAATCTAAGAGATTAATTTTGTTCTAAACGATCATAAGTTTAAAAATTATTAGAAAGAAAACTAAATAAAACAAACAAAAAAAAAAACAATAGAAAGAGAAGAAAAGAAACTACCGGCTACCATACCACTGCCGATCAAAAAATACGGTCTGCGGTGGTTTAAAAACAAAATCTAGAAGAATACAAAAGAGAGAGTATTACATTATATTATAGAAAAATATATATCATAGATAGATAGCAAATATCATTATAATTTTGATATTTTTTTTTTCTAAAGTCTATGAACATATAATTAGTTTTATGGCTTTTTTTTTGAGAAAAAAAATTCTTTTAAATATTATATGATTTGATAATATAACGTGTTACACTATAATTTTATATTTTTTACATATTTCTAGTAAATTTTATTCTCTATTTTATATCAAACAATAAATCTTATAGTATATTACTCGATAAAATAAATTACATTTATTTTTTATGGAACAAGTTACTTGTAAGAAATTATTATAATCAATCAAATTAATAATTATTAAAATTAATAATTAAATATATTATATTCTTACTATATTTAATATGTGCCTTATATAGTATAATATAGCCAATTAAAATTAAATTATCTTTATTTTTCAACTAATAAAATTAAAATTCTTAAAATATTATAGCTTTTCCAAATTTGACAAATACCTTATTTAATATATAATATAATTTCTTATTTATCCAATAAAATTTAGATGTTAATAAAAAATTAATCTAACCAATCAAAATTAAGTTACATTTATTTTTTCAATCAATAAAGATATTATATATTTATCATATTTAATATGTATCTTATACAGTATAAAACATTATTTTTTATTTTATCCAATAAAATTTAGATTTAAATATAAAGTTAATATTACGATTCAAAATTAAATTAATTTATTTTTCAACAAATAAAATTAAAGTCTTTAATGATATTTTTGTCAATTCATAAATTTAATAGAAACATTTTTGACAATCTCAATATTCTCTTACTCATTCCCACTTATATATGTTTCCAACGTGCGTTACACGTATGTTTGTACTTACTCTTCTCACCTGTAGATTGACATAGAGTGATACATGGCATAAGTTTCAATGTTAGAATTCTTTATAGTCGGTTGTGCTTGGCAAATCGTATTTTAGTCTCTCATAAATTATACTTTGATTTCTAAAAATTACTCTATTTGTTCTACTTTAACAGCAATAAATAGAAATTTTACTTTATTCCACTTTAAGTGCTCACTTAGAATTTTGAGACTATATTAATTTTTTTTTTCAATTTTACCATATTTATTAGGTGTCACTTATTTCTATATTTACTTTTAAGGACAATTTAGATATTCTATCATGTTTTTTTAGAAAATCAATAAATTTTAATCATTTTCTTAATATTTATAAAAAGAGCAAATATTGCCATTAAAATGCAACAGAAAGATTCAATTTAGTCTAGTAAATTACATTTTGATCCCTAACAATTACACTTTGGTCCTTATAATTTTTAGAAATTTTCAATTAAGTCCCAAAAACTTCAATAGATCCTAAAATTCAATTTTTCAAAGACTGTCTTCCTAATCTTCTGATATGATTTTTGAGGCTTCGTTCTTACCCATTTTAAGCTAGATTTTAGTGTGCAAAATATTATTTTGATAAGTCTAGTTTGTAATGTCACTTGAATCATAAAAAATTATTTATCTGGAGCTCAAGTTATGATTAAAAGTCTAGGCATAATTCACGTTTGACTTTTAGGGTTTAGCTCTAATTCTCAATCGATTGAATACCGATTCGAACCGCATCTTTTGTGATTACTTTATAATAATATAACGATGCAAAAAGCATGTGTTAACATCATCATGAGGAGAATTTCTAAGTAATTTAATTCAAAATCTACAATATATGATTCGTCTCATCAATTGCTTCCCTTTAAATTAGGAGCATTCTAGTTTCTATTATGAAGGCTTCAATTACTATAATTGATCCACCAGATAAAATGATTCTTATTTTTAATCTCTCGAATTCTCTCCTCAGAGTTTATTAGCATAAGAGATAATTTTATTTAACAATCCATACCAAGGGCCCATCGGGCTCAATCCAATAAATTAATAAATAGTTTGCAAATCAATACAATGATATAATTAATTCATAATTATAACCCATATAAAATATAATTGCAAAACTATAATAAACTACATTCTCTATTTTCTACATGTATTGTTAAATAATTAATGACTCTACAACTAACTATTATATTCCTTCATCTGAAGCTCAATCTAGATGCCCCTATAGAGTTTTCCTTGTCTCCTTATATCCTTAAAAAATTTGAAGGTAAGGGTGAGTGTCTAAACTCAATGAGTAGGGTTAGATAATCCTATCACCCCATACAATCATACAAATGTTATCATAATAAACCATCTATAGCCTTCCGGCTATTCTTGAATGAGCAGGCAAGAATCAATGCACACAAGATAAACCAATCACAATAATTCAAATAGTTATAATAGTGGACTGCCAAAGCGTCACCTTTATAAACAAGGACCATGTTCACTCCAAAGCATGTTGTATAATATAGTCTAAATTAATACACCATGGTCCTCATGGCAAATGCACTCAAAGAGCCGACTCTGGGTCCATCTATTCTCATTCCTTTCTTTTTCCTTTTCATATTCTTTTCTTTTTTTTCCATTCTTTTTTCACCAATGATGTTGCATCAAACAACATAGTGCATAAGGGGTGCCACTCCCACCACTTACAGCCAATCTCTAACGCTATTCTTACCCATGCTCGTGTCATGAAAACCAAAGGTGAGCCACATCATCCCAACTCTATGGCACAATGT